AGATAAGGTTTTTAATATCTATTTTGCCATTTTATTTCTAAGAGGTATCCTACAGAGCATTTGCACCTCTGTTACCCTGCACAATGAAATGCACTTCTATCCAGTATGAGCAGCAATGTTGTCTATGCCATAACATACATGTGCTTTTCTTGTTTTGCTAAAATGCAGTGAAGTTTTGCTAACAACAGTGACCTTCAAATCTCAAAATCAGAATGCTAGGCCAGATGAATTCTTTCTATCACTGATATTGTACCCCTTCATGCCATGTTTGTTACTTAGTGATCACTCACAATTTAGATAGCTACCATAAAGGTATAACAGCCTTGTAGAGCTAAGACAATTATTTCTGTATTGTTTTTGAATTGCTGTGTTGTAGAAAACCTTGTTAATTAGTGTATTAGTACTCTTTTGATCCCRCTGTTAGTTTTGCCTTTTAGACTTTGTTTCTCTACTTGTTTACAGAGAGTGTTAAATAAGCTACTGCATCAAGCTCTTTAAGCAAATCTATCTCTGCTTAAAGAAAACAGGGGAGATGTTGGGAATTATCAGGGTTAAACATCGCTGTGTGAAGAGGCTCGTGGCAAGCTAGGGCTGCCTGCTTTGGAGCTATCAGCCAGCTGCAGACAGGGTGGTGTTAAAACGGGCAGATGAGCAAAACTCCTGCCTCCCTTTTTAGGTTCGGACCCCCCTGGCTGATGTAAGACCCCCAGACAGTTGCGAAATACTCCCCTTATCGGAATTTGTGTTTGAAGTGACCAGTGAGAGGTGACTACTTGAAATATTCATGAAGTTCATTATAGTAGTTATAAAAAGCATGTTCAATTTCAATAAAGCGAGTTCAGCTATCATGTCATAGTGATCAGAATGCTGTTTCTCCCGGCGCTTCCCGAACAAATGGACCTAAAACTTTAACACAGGTGCACTCACTCAGGTAAACATCTGAGTAGCAGCAGGGACTACTTGAGAGTAATGTGTACATTATAGCACCTTATATATACCCTATAGTAGCCTTCTCGTACCTAAAGGGGCCTACAGGAGAGCTGGAGGGGAGCTTTTAACAAGGGCATGTAGCGACAGGAAAAGGGGGAATAGCTTCCAATTGAAAGAAGAAGGTTTTGATGGGATATTAATGGCAAGTACTGGGCAACCAAAAGATCAGGCCAACCCAGCAGGGGTTTAGGAAAGGCAGGTCCCACTTGATCAAGCTGATCTCTCTTCTGTGACCAGATGACCCACAACTGGATGAGGAAGGCTGTGAATGTTGTCTACCTGGACTTCACAAAAGCTTTTGATACTGTCTCTCTCAGCATTCTGCGGGAGAAGCTGGCTGCTCATGGCCTGGACAGGTTCACTCTTTCCTGGGTAAAAAACCCTCTGGATGGATGCACCCAGAGAGTGGTGATCAATGGAATTACATCCAGCTGGTGGCTGGTATTCCCCAGGGCTCTGCAYTGGGGCCAGTCCTGCTCAATATCTTTATCAATGAACTAGAAAAAGGGGATCAAGGACACCTTCAGTCAGTTTGCAGATTACACCAAGTTAGGTATGAGTGTGGATCTACTGGAGGGTAGGAAGGCTTTGCAAAGAGATCTGGACAGGCTGGATCCATGGGTCAAAGCCAAATGGATAAGGTTCAGTAAGGTCAAGTGTCAGGTCACAACAATCTAGTGCAGTACTACAGGCTTGGGGAAGAGTGGCTGGAAACTGTCCAAGGGATAAAGTACCTGGGAATACTGGTCAGCAGTGGCTGAACACGAGCCAGCTGTGCCCAGGTGGCCAAGAAGGGCAATGGCACCCCGGTTTGTATCAGCAATAGTGTGGTAGCAGGAGCAGGGCAGGGATCATTTCCCTGTGCTTGGTGCTGGTGAGGCCACGCCTCAAATCCTGTGTCCAGTTTGGGGTCCCTCACTACAAGAAAGACATTGAAGTGCTGGAACATGTCCAGAGAAGGGCAACAAAGCTGGGGAAGGGTCCAGAGCACAAGTCTGATGGGGAGTGGCTGAAGGAGCAGGGGATGTTTAGCCTGGAGAAAAAGAGGCTCAGGAGGGACCTCTCTCCATCTATTCRAAAGAAGGTTGTAGCCAGATGGGTGTCGGCCTGTTCTCTGAGGCTGTCAGCAACAGGACAAAGGAAATGGTCTCAAGCCAAGCCAAGGAGATTCAGGTTGGACATCAGGAAGAATTTTCTCACTGAAAAGGTTAGATAAGCATTGGAACAGGCTTCCCAGGGATGTGGTGGAGTTACCATCACTGGAAATGTTCAAGAAACAACGGGACATGGCTCTGAGTGCTATGGTTTAGTTGTCATGGTGGTATTCAGTCGAAGGTTGGACTCAGTGATCCTGGAAGTCCTTTCCAACCCAAATGATTTTATGGTGAGGCACCAGAAYAGGCTGCCCAGAGAAGCTGCAGATGCCCATTCCTGGATTTGTTCAAGGCCAAGTTGAATGGGGCTCTGAGTAACCTGATCTAGCTGTAGATCTGTTCATGGCAGGGGATTGGACTAATGACGGACTAAAGCTCTCTGCCCACTCAACTACTCCATGATACTAAAATTAGAATTAGAATCTCCTAGCTCGGTTGCTTTCTTAGATATCATTTTAGATTTTGAGAGATGTAAACATGAAATAATCAAAGTATGCTATCATGCAGTATTTTAGTTATGAATTCAAAAATACAAATTGTAAAATTACACATTGTAAACAAATTCTATATATTWTCTAATTTTGAACATTTTGAGTATTTAAAACAGTTGTGCTCCCTCAATTAGTAAATTCCAACTATTTACATCTGAAGGAAGGCCTAAGAAGACTTAAAATGGCAGCAGAGGAAGCAGAAATAGGATTCCTAAGTCTCCAGTTTGAGAAGCACTATAAAGCTATGCAACAGGCAGTTCCACAGGAGGATGAGAAAGGGAAGCATAGGTCAGACTCTCCCCCAACTCTTTATTAACAAAATTAGGAAACACCAGAACTCATTCCCTGACTGTCTTCTCTCTTGCACAAAAATAGGAAACAGATATTCTTTACAAAAATGCTAGTCTATATCATAAAGAACAGAAAGATGACAAGCTATTAGCTGCAATTTTTTCAAAACTACATATATAAGCTCCATAATTTAATGAAATTAAAAGCTTCTTTCCATGAACTAGTAAACGCAGTGCTAAAAGTAAGCTATATCAGCTTCAGTCACAGACACACACAGATTCACATGCTTCCCAGGAATGCAACCTCACTAAAGCAGATGTATATTTAGCATATACAATGGGCTAAATTAAAGTAAAATTTCTAATCTCTGGTAATTTATTGTATCATCCTTTCTCTTTCCCCCAGTTTTGCTTCAGCTACAAACTGTGGTTTGTAGAATTCATTTTTGTAAATTATTTAAAGCTGAGCTCCTAGAGAAGCAGTCTGAAGAAGATCTAAACTCTCTAGGCCTCATCAGATATAAATATTGCTCCACACAGATCAGATTACCCTTCCCAGTTGTATAAGGAAATTTGTTTCAGCAGCTTACCTTCAAAACTCCATGCACCTTAAAAACACTGCTCTTTTAACAGCTTAGATGTCTTACAACCCAAAGGTCTACAGTCCAATAACCTCATTTCTCTAAAGGCTATCTATAGAAAATATGCAGACGGGTTCTGCTCCAATCTGAGAGAATAAAAAACAGGTGATAGATCTCAGACATCCTAGCCAATAGTGAAAAACGTCTGTGTACAAGGGACATTGCTCTCTTTTTCCCAAAAAAAGTGCCTCTGTTAGGCTGCAGTGCCAAATCAAGATTACTTAACTCAACTTTTTCCTATTGTGGAAGAAGGCAGGTGTTTTACCTCCACTAAAAGGAAGAAAGACTTATATTATCTCAGTAGAGAAAATCACAGTATAGCCACGAGGAAAACACTCCCCTACTCATGCAAGGGGGATTACAGCATCGAACATCTGCATAGTGTAGAAAGGCAAGGTTAGTGGTCACACAGTGCTCCAGTTATACCAAAGATCTAAAAAGCACTTCACTCTATGAACATCCAAAAAAAAAATTTCCAGGGAAAATGATACATCAGCGTCTCCAGAACTTTTCATTTCCATTTAGACTACAGTAAATAAAACTCTCCAACTCACAGAACAAACTCACAATTTTCATTCTTCACCACTACAATTAGTACATAATTACATGATAAAATACTACTTTATACTTTATCCAAATCTGACACTGGATCAGATGTCACAATGAGTTTGGTAAAATTAATGAGTTTTGTGTTTTTAACACAGAGAGTTTAAAAAAAGACAGTATTACCTGCTTAACTGCAAAAACAATGTGCTGTACAACATATGACACACATTTTCTCAAAAGAATCATAATTTCAGGCTCAAACAGACAACCTCTGGCAAAATTTGATTTTAGCACATCTTCAGAGGCCCAAAATAGACTTCAAGAATAATAAAACCACTCTTGGAATTGAGTAGTGAGTAGGCTTTAACTAATAACGAAAAAGGCTTCTAGTGTCTACTGTAGGATTTTGCTCCACAGCTAAAATAACTAGTTAACTGTTCTATACCATAGCTGAAAAGCAAAAACTTCAAGACTGCAAATACAGCTGTAAAATGTCTCGCCTATACATAGACTTATCCTAGGATAATGTTTCAGACTACTAATAAATGTAATTTGAAACTTTGTCCCTGTGCCTTCCCCCATAACAGCCTTTCTACAGAAGAAAATAATATACATAAATGATCTGACAGTCATAAACAGTCTTACGTTTTGTTTAGGTTTGTATCCACCTAAGATGCAATGTAAAAAAACTAGAAAGAGAAAATATCATGCACAAAGTTATGGGTGTAGCACACTTCACAACCAACACACAATATAAAAGCATTCTTCCTCACTACACATCCCAGAGGCAACTAAGGATAATTTATAAATACCATCTGCTTCTAGTGTTTCTCTAGCAATGTATTAGCAAAATACATAGATTTTAAAAATAGAGGAAAAAAGTCTTACTCTGCTATATCAAGATATCCACAGGAAGCAGCCGCATGTAGAGGTATCCAGCCTTCATTATCTGGTTGATTAATATTTGCTCCATTTTCCACCAGAAATTTCACCATATCTACGTTATCATCTATACAAGCCTACAAAGAAAGAAAGAGTTAAGAATTAAAGTTGTTCTACAATCTTGTGAATCTTTAAGCAACATCTTCAGAAGAAAATGTAAGTATAAGTTCTGAGGAGGAAGCAGGGTTTCATTGTAGCTTGTAGCTGTCTGACAGCAACATGAAAAATTTTAGGTAAGCAGCATTTCAAGACAACCTTTTAAATAAATGAATTCAAGCAGAGTTTACAAGAGCCAAAAATTACTATTTTCTCAGGTAAATGCATTCTGATTTTCTGAGAAGTCCTTCACAGTCCCCACTGCAAACTTATTCTCCAGTACAAAGTGGTTCCTCAGGTCCTCACTTCATCCAGGCCCAGCTCAGCCACTTGAGTGGATACTGAAATTAAATAAACAGCTACACCGTGGAGTAGAATTGTGTCTAAGAGACAGGGGAGTACTTAGAAAACAATACCATAAAATGATTTTACCTGTAATGTAGATGAGACTACAGAGTGTGAAGGGAATGCTACATAGTACTTCCCCCTACTGTAGCATATTCTATACCACCATAAATCTTTTAACAGTCGATTAATCACCCCTCTTTATAAACTTACTTGAGTATCATTTTGGCAATTCCAAAAGTATTATCATCTGCCCACATCTCTTAATTACCAAGCAAACAGTGTTGCTCAGATGCAGAACTATTGCCACTCTCCAGACCTCCATCTTGCCTAACTCCTGTTTTGCCTTTCTTCTGTGTTTAAGTATTTTTCTCACAGGGTGCTTGCCAACTTCCATCCTGCTGTCCTTAAAAGGGCAGAGCAACTGAGAGAAAAGTCCCTCTGCATTTCAGAGCACAGCAAGAACTCCAAGCAGCTAGACCCCACAAGATTGGTATTAATTTTTTAGCTTAATAAATCAACAATACTACATAGCCACAAGGCTGAAATAAGAACCTCTACTCTTGGGCTCCTAAATCCTTCTAGAGAATTATGCCTTGAATTAAATGCAATTAAGGTATAAATTTAACTTTTCAGAATACTTCTGAAAAAAAGCCAAAAAATGACATAATGTTTTACTATGGAAAGTAAACAATGTGGATATCCTTATTTCAGCAATTTCACATTCCAAGAAGAATCCTGGAGCTTTCCTCCATTCAGCAATGCTGAGGCAACAGCAACACCATGAGGAGAATGCTGCTGCCCAGTGTAATAAGCCAAACAAAAGAAGCAACGAATTGTCCTTCTTTGACTCCAATTGCTTTAGTTAGGTACAGCTAGACTGTAACTAGAATGCAATACACTGCTTACATTATTTGCCTTTCAGTCAAAAACGAAACAACATTCTTGAATGCAAACCTTCCTACCTTTTAAGGTATTCTTGAAAGCCGCCTTGAAAACTCTATATTCATCCCTAAAATCAGCAGTTCTTTGAATAAAATAATTTCTTAATATACTCCAATAAAGGCTGCATGTTTCTCAAGCATATTTGTCTTCAATTTCTTCCACTTATCAGCAGTGTACAATGTTTATACACTTACAGTAAGCTGTGAAAGAAGAGAATCACCTCCTTTTTATAAGGTATTTTGTTACTTAATGAAAAAGAAATACATGCAAGATACGGTAAATCCGTTTAGGAGGAAAACAAATTAATGAAACTCAGATGTCTACACTTAGCAGAAACATCAACTGTATAAAGCCATATTTCCAGTTTTTCTGGATATTCAATTTGTCCAACTACTGATATTCTATGTCTATAATAATATTCACCATCTAATTATAAGGAAAAGTAAATTTACAACAGGAACACTTTTAAAATTATAGGTATTTTAATATTACATTTTTATATGCTGSATGCTTATTTATCTTAAAATCCTCTACAGTTCCTCATCTGTGAAAAAAGGATATCTTAAAACTGATTAGCACTATTAAAAAAAAACAACAAAAATGCCCAACCATCTGGCTGTGACACAACCCACACAGAACAATCCCTGCCTATTTTTCAAGTATACATGAGAAAACCTGGCAAGAAATACTCATAAAAATGTTGTTGCTAAGTGAATTGAAAGCTTACATATGCAGCACATTAAAAGACATATGACTAAGTGGCTAAAAATATTTGACCAAATTTGGGCAGTTACTTGTGCCATACGTGGCAAGGATCAGGAGAGCTCAAATACATTTATCAGGTATTAACAGAGATTGCACATTTATAACAACCAAAAATATTTTATTAAAAAGTCACTGTGGCCTCCAAGAAGGTAATACCTATCTTAAGGTGAATAAAACCAATTGCAATTAATTATATTGCTCAAAAACATGAATCTACTGCATCCTATGTCTCCATGTCCCCTTGTCCTCCTTAAAACAACCACAGGAAAGTGCTGGGTACATGTTATCACTCTCAGCACTTTCCATAGGATAGGCACATGTGGCTATCAGCTGGTACCTTACGACAGAAAGCCAAGAAACAAATGTTATAAAAGAAATTTTATCTAAATGTTTTTCCACTTCTACTGCACTGCTCACTTCTAAAATCAATATTTATCAAGTGTCAGAAGTGCCTCTGTTGTTAAAGACTGACATCTCAACCACAAAAGGAAAGCTTGTTGGAGCAGCATGATAAATTTAAAGCAATAACCCCTGAATAGACTGCCCTTCTAGACCTTAGCCTGAAACTTATTACAAAGGATAAAAAAATGCACATGCAAGATGTAAATAACAAGAGTTCCACTGATGTTACAGTGACTCAGAAAGATAAATTCTCACGATTCTGTCGCGGAATCTGCACAGAGGACACAGACAACTGTGGGTCTTCCTCTTCCACATCTCTTACAGCCTATTCCAGGACACATCTCAGTTCTTTGTGCGCATCTGCCCCCATCCCCAGTCTCTCCCTTCATGGCCACAGTACCCACCTAGAGCATCAGTTACCACTTAATGAAACCACAGGTCATCCTAAAGTTCTTTCCAAGTGCTTGCAAACCACATCTGTAGAGCACACACACACCAGCCAGCTCCAGGGACAAGCAGCACACAGGAGCTCACACACAAGATACTTTTCAACCCATGCACTGGTTTCCCTCTCTCAACCGCAACGTTACCAACTGGTAGAAATGCAGCATTTTGGCATGATGCACTTGTTACCCTGCTATATTTTGATTAGTCAGCCAATGGGTTCAAACTGAGTAACAACTGCCAGTGCAATCATATAAACCTTGTTTCCTTTGGGAACCAATTTAGAAACTAGGCTAATCAGTCATAAAGTCAAAGCAAAGTTGAGAATACGAAGTCTGGTTACCTTTTCTGATAAGAAAAAGGAAGTACACTGAAGTTCAGAGAAGAAAACCACTTTCCATTTGCTCAACATGAAAATTTGACTGCAAAGACCAGAACAGATCAATAACGCCAGACCAGCCATAGGTAGGTCCAGCTAGTGCTGGAAACAACATTTTAACCTTTTCCCATAAACACTCAAAAGGGAATAATCAGATACCTGCTGAACATTCTAGACTTTTAACTGTATTCACCATGACTTTGTATCCCAGTCAAGTGGCAGGTGATATTGCTGGCTGTTGATAATACCATGTATTAAGAACATAGGTGAAGGAGAGACTTAACTTAGTAAGTAGCCTTAAAAGCAGACATTTTTAAAAGAAACTTCATAAGTGCATGGTTCCTCAGTGAGCAACCATCCAAAGAATTCAGCAGATAACACTCTTCCCCAAAAGACAAGAAGAACAAGCCTGTAATGGTTTTGAAAATATCAGAAATCTTGTAGGGAAAGAAGCAATCAGTCAGTTAGAATACTGTTCTACAGACATGAAGCAGACATGTACATCACACGGGGCTACAATTTTTACCGATTTTCATTAATGCTAACAGCTAAATGAGGTAATTCCATGTAATAAGGTTTAGACATTACAGATGCTTTAATAAATTCTGGTAAAATTTATCTCCATTTTCCACAGATTGATTAAAACCTATCCTTTTACTGACTTGATCAGTATTCTGATCTATTCCAAATTAAGGTATTTTGCATCTACTAGGAAAACAAACATGTATTTCACCTCTGCCATAATTTTTTTTTTCTTATTTACTCTACCTTGGYAGAGAAAGGAGTCACAAATATGAGCACAGAAAAATATATTAGACTTAATGGGATAAAACAAGGCAAACAACCATTCTGAATTGCCATGTGAATACTGGCAACAGGAAGAAGACCTCACACAGTGGGATCTGAAGAATAGTTTATCCCTTCTTTAAATTTTTTGTGTGAAGTAATTCCAGTGGGTCCAACAGGACTTAGCAGGACATTAACATCTTTGTTAACAGACCCAAGAATCAAATTAAAGCAGTAAAGCTGGTTAAAGYGGGTCCCATTCTCCCCACCTTGGGTTGTGTGTTCCCTCTGCCACCACATTCCACACTCCTTTACAGCTATGCTGACACATTGTGCTAAACTGAATCTAAACTGGATCAGAGTGGCAATAATAATTTAAAATGAAATAAGAAAAAGAAAGCAATATACTCTTATCTTTATCTGACTAGAGCAGAATTATTTGCTTTGCTTATGTTAAAATGGTTTTTACATTAAGAAAAGCAGCATTATTCTGAAATACATTTTCATATCCTAATCCCACTATGAGTGAAACAACAATTCATTTCACTCTGCATTTTCACCCATTACAAACCCTGTGTTAAAGCTTCTTTCCAACTAGCACTATGAAGAACATATTTTTAAATTAGCAATCACATCTACCACTCATATTTTTAAATTTACAACACATTTAAGCCTTGTTTGTAAGTATTTCATAGAATCATAAAAGGAAGTGAGTCACCATTACAAACTGCTGCCTTGAGCAGGAACATCATGTTGCTGAGAGCCCCATCCAACCCTGCCTTTACAGCCTTCCTAAGCCAATCACATTAGTCGCTCTGTCTACCTCACTGCCCTCTCTCCCTCCCTCACAGAGCAATTTCTACTGAAACTAAGACAGGAACAGAGGCTGAGTTAAATTCATCAGTTCTTATGAAA